AATTTTTAAAATCGGTAAACTTTTTTTTTTTCCCAGTGGCCCTAATCCTCTTCCATATTCTGCTGCAAGGACAATAAAACCAAAGTAATGTAATAAAGGGAATTCCCTTCAGCTGCTCTAAACTTTGGACATTGACTGATAAGCGGAACAAAAGAAGAGATTACATTATTCCATTTATAAATTCTGACTTTAGAGCCCGATCGGGTCAAGCTTATTCTGAATTATTAAAGCCACAAACTACAGCTTGAGCCACCAATCAGACATTATTTTTAGTGTAGAACATCTCATTTTTTTCCCCCTTAAAATGTTTTATTCTTATATTAGGTTTAGACTGTCTCTATCATGTATCCCGTCGTTTATTAAGGTAGATCTCATTTTGTGGTTTTTAAAATGTCCTTATGCTCTTTTTTGATATTTTATCTATAAAATGAAATCATATATTCTTACCTGAGCTTGGAGCAATATTTCATGTATGTTTTAAAGTTGATGAGTTTCCATAATAGAATACATTTGTGTTAGTGGTCTTAATATCTTCCCAGTGACTCTGCTTGTGCTTTCTGTTCCATCTTAGTGGTTTAGTGGGAAGAATGTTTCTGTAGCATCTAAAACTTTGGGTTCAAACCATCCTCCTTCGGTAAAGGTTTATGTGCCCCTCAGCAAGGCAATGGATCTGTGCAGTGATGTTTAAATGTGGCTGTTTGATAGATCGCTCTGACCAGAAAAGCTCTGGATGAACTCTTTTACTATTTACAGATTGCGCACTCAGATGGGTAGAGATGTATTGATTTCCCCCGTTTTAGATAAATCGCTGCTCGTCAGGTTTGGAAATTCAGGTTGTTGTCTGAGACCCAAAAAGAGGCATTGCATATCTGTGTCAAAGTTTGACACAGATTGTGGCAGAGCGTCTCCTCCTTCTCTTCCTGCTCCCCCTCATTGGCCAGCTGTGCTAACGTCCATCATGATGAACCAGAATAATACCCAGCAGAATAATAAGCAGTGTGGTAGAGGCCTGAGCTGGTTTAAACCGCTTCTGTTTGTGAGAGACTGCCAATTTAGCTGACAGATTAACAGATTATGAGAGGCAAAGTTTATCCTGCTTCACTACCATTTGGCTTTGGGCATGATTTCCGTTTACGGAGCTATAACTCATTCACCATCAGAGGCTGAAGTCTGGCCCCTCTCTGATATCAGCCTAAATTAACTAGATGTTTTGTTTAATTCAATTTAGGGCTGCAACTAACGATTATTTTAAAAATCGATGAATCGGCCAATTATTTTTTCGATTAATCGATGAATCGGACAAAAAATATTTTTTTATATTAAACTCTTTATTCCAAAATAAACATTTTATTCAGAACAAACAAGCACACAAGTACAGGTTGCTCATTAACTGTACTGGTGCAATATGAAAAATA